GTAGAATTTTTTATTTGGCACTATATTTAGTGTCAAACATAAAAGTGAGTTGATTTGTAAAAAATATATGGACGTGTTTGCTTGTTTGACAAATGAGATACAAAGTATTAATATTGATGTTATCTACTACAAATTAAATGTGAATTTGATAGTAGGACCTACCAAAAAAAGAATATTGTTGGTCATTAATATGCAGGTGGAACTTATTCATCAAGAGTTGCATAAGTAACTTGAATCTGATTTTACTAGTGAAGTTTATAACTTAGACCCGGTTGTCAACATCATCATTATTCAAAAATCAAATGATAATTGGTTGATGTGTGTAAAATTTACCAATTTGAATTTGGCATTGCCAAAAAAATAGATATCCACTACTATAAATTAATGCTTTAATCAACACTAAATTTTAGTTATCTTATCATTAGCTTTCTTGTGTATTATCTGAGTATCACCAAATTATGATGCACTATACTAATAATGTGAAGTCAACTTTCATTGTTGTGGATGGATTTTATTGTTGTAAAGTTATTTCATTGGCTTCAAAAATATAATTGCAACTCACTAAAAATGGTAGATAAAATATTTAAAATAAAAAAAATAAAGTATATATGAATGATTTAATGATAAAAAATAAAACAATATCACTACATGTAACTGATTTAATAGGATTTTTTAACACTAAAAAAAATATAACATTAAGCTTAATCCTATCAAACACACACTCAAAGCTGGAACTAACAAAATTTTGAGCTTCTTACTTATACGTGAAGGTACCAAAGATGAACCCATATAGGTCAATGCCATAGTCAACATGCCTTCTCCTAGAAGCACCAAGGAGCTAACAAAGTTGATGAGCTTAATATCTTGATTGAACATATTCATATCTAGCTTGGGCGACAAATGCTTGAAAATTTTGAAGGTTTTAAGAAGTTCTAAGCACTTCTCTTAAAATGATAAATATTGGAAGACATTCACATAGTTGAAGTCACTTTTATATTTGCTTTCATTTCTATTAATTCTAAAGCTTTAGAAGACTTATTATTGTATCTTAGGATTGGCAAAGATGATAGTTTGATACTCCTTAGGAAAAAGGAATGAAATAACTCTCATTTTAATAATTTAGTAAAATTTTAAGGAATGTTGAATTAAGAGATCCACATATGTAGAAACTTGCATTGGTTATTATTATCATCATCAGAATGCTTCCACCCTACTTCTACACCAATTCAATAAAAATTAGCATCGACCATCCATTCAAGTCAATATTTCCCAAACCATATCACACAGGATGAATTTTCTAATGGGTTGTGAAGCTTAAAAAAATTAACATAACATATTCTCTCCAAATAGCCATTAAAGTGCAAGCCTTGCTGACATTATGGACATTCTCGGAACTTGGCAAGGAAAAAGAGACAACTAATCAAAAGGATTTGCAATCAACTTTATCTATTGATGATGCTTATGAAGAATATGAGTTGGCATTATAATAACACTAAAGTGTATAACATAAATTTTTCTTTCCAATGCAATAAAATTTGCTTTCAAATTATGAGTAACTTGGCTAAGAATGAAGTAATAGTTGCTGGATTCATATTTGCTACTGGAGTAGAATTTAAGCATCTTATTATATATTTAAATTCATAATTAGTGGTTAATGTTGGTATCACTTTTGATGTTGTATGTGTGGGATGTCCACTTGAATGCTACATGACTATGTTTCACTCATTGACAGTCTCTCATAACTCTAGGCATCTGTTAGGACTTTCAGGTATATACCTCGAGCACAAAGCTAGGGTCAGTAACAACTCAGCCTTACCTGGGAGAGCTCATCGTTGGGTGATGATAATTCTGATAAGGGATATATTTAATGTCCATTTTGTTGTTTAAATACCATATTCCAACTATTCAGAGCCTCTCGTGGTCAAGAGCAGTCGTTGAACCCTCTCCCTCTTGTTGAGAAAATTGGGCTTAGACTAATCCAATTGGGGAAGGGTCCGGGACGCCCGTCAATACTAAAATTCCTGATTTAAAGCTTCTAAAAGCTCATTTTTGGGTCGCGGGGTTGTCTTTTAACAATATGTGGTTTCTCGTAGCTTCTGGATCACTAAAATTCTTCAACTAACAATTTAGGCTCAAAATTAGGGTTTGGACCGGCGTAGCCGTGCCCGGAAGTGATCATCGTTGGTTGGCATTAGTTTTGATATGGGACATGTTTAGTTTCCATTTTAATTTTTAAGGATCACATCCCATTTATTTGGAGCCTCCCATGGTCCCATAAAAAAAAAAAAAAAAACTCTGGTGCTCTCATTCTCTTTGTTCGTACGTATTGCGATGTACATTCACCCGTGACCGTCTTAGCAAGTGAGCGAACTCAGAGCAAACAAAGAGAACACGACTGCAAACATCGCAATGGTGAAACATTCTCTAAGCCTGATCTCACTCTTTTCTAGCAAGCCTTTTTAGGTATATGTGTTAGAGAAATAGCATTAGGTTTGTTTTAGAGGAAACTCCATAGGTTATGAGCTTTTTGTTGAGTTCTCTCACGACATTTGAGTTTTCCTCTGTATTATTAACTTTATTCACCATATTAAAATATTTGGTCAACTTTCTATTCATTTTTGTGCTTAGTGCATATCTATTATACTTTTTTTCGCTTACATACAAGCATTAAAAATATTCTCTAGTGATTTTTTTTTTCTTTTGCAACTGGGCTATTATTAAAATGCCAATTTAAGTTTTTTACCGGTAAACTCTCTAGTATTTACATTAAAATCCTTTGATTTTTTACTCACAAATTTAATTTAATTTTAGAGTTAATCAATCTTAGCTTTTTTATGAAAATAAGCTAAACTAAGGGTCTGTTTGGGGCAGCTGCAGCTTAATAATAAGCTGTTGCATAGCATAAGAAGCTGCTACGCAAAAGCTGTTGCGGATAAACTGATTGTTTGTTAATTTTTTTCGGTTTGAAAACAATTGTACTGCAGTTGTTTCTGAATAAATAATCATTTTGTACTTGTATAGTAATGTTGATTGAGGCATTCTGCTCAGTATAAAGCCTTAAATTCTCACTCAGACATTAAAGGTAAAGGTAAAACCCCACCACATATTTTTCTTTTGAGGCATTACATACAGGGCACCGGAAACATTGCTATCAATAAATCAAGCACCCTCTTTCAGTCATTTCTCAAATTCTCTCTCAAACATTAACGATAAAATAAAATCCCATTCCATATCACATTTAGCCACAAATTGGCAAAATCCAAATTTCAAATCAGAATTAGAAAACCACAAATCGTAAAATCCAAATTCTCATTTCAAACCGCAAATGAAAAAACCACAAATCGTAAAGAAAAAGTCATTCCATAAAAAAAAAATAGATGATAGAATTGGAGGACAAAGAGCATAATAAATAGAGAAAGAGCCAGAGATCGGAGGGAAGGGGAGAGTAGAGAGGCAAGATGTTGTCATCGGAGATCAGAGAGAAAATGAAAAGGAGAAAGGCAAATCGTTGCCACCTGAGAGAGGCGCGAGAGAGGGGAGCGCGAGGGTAGTAGAGTAATAGGTTCGCAAAGAAATGCGGGTCCCGAGGTTGGGCCCGCAGCCCGCACTTAACATAAATTTTTAAGTACCGCTGAGGCGCCGCCTATTTCCAAACATCGCGACCAGCGTTTAATATAAATTTTTAAGTATCACTGAGGCGTCATGTTTCCAAACGCTTTGGTCGGAATTTTCAGAAGACACCACACCAAATAAGTTGCCCCAAACGGGCCCTAAGGCTCATCATTCTCGCATGACACATGACACTGGAGCCGAAGCTTATTCTTATAAACATTTAATAAGCATTTACCTACATACCACACCATTCTTATGAGTTTACTTGTCGAATACATAGACATTAATTTTACATTTATAAAACTGAAAACCTTCTTACCGCATCAAGCATCACTATCATTAACTTTTAATAAGTGAAATTCATTTTCTTATGCACAAGTAAGGTGATATAAATATAAATATTAAAATTTTAGGTGCTGGTTATGTAAATACATAGAAATTGTGTGGCAAGCACGTAAATCTTCCAACAATTAATTAATTAATTTTATATCTCTTAAAATTGGTAGATTATTCGACCGTTCTTCATAAAAAAAGGTACTTCTAAACTATAAACCATTAATTAAGATTTATATCATTCCTTTTTTTTAATAAAATTTAGAAATAATATTTGATCCAATATTAACCTACACAATTAAAAGAAATATTTGCGTATGTAAGACGTACTCGCAGAATTGCGTACATATAGGTTATTCGGATAATTCTTCATGTAACATATGTGTAACCTACATGTACTCTCCAAATAATTTAATATGTCGCAACTCTGAGACGTACGCAAATGTTTCCTTATATAAATTTCTTTAATGGCGCTCTTGCATTTAAGTTTTACGAAGGGCATAACTGACATTTTCATCACTAAGAACAAATTTGAAATGCGAAATAAAAACTGAAAAAGCTTTTCCATACCGTTCATGGAGTCCAGGTTAAATGCACCATTGGCTCCTTTAATATATAATTAAAGCTAATCGCAAAAATAAAAAATTAAAAAAAAAATCGAAATTACCGATTTATCCTGTTGTCCAATTTACCAGAACAAACAAATTTTGAATCAAATTATTCTAAAAGTAGCAAATGTCGAGTCATTCGATAAATATGAATTTATATAAAAAAATAAAATTTATTTTTAGTATATCTAAGTATTATTTTTATGATATTTTTCAGTGAATTATTATTTATTTATTCTTATTAAATATATTATATAATTAAATAAGTCAATTTTATTTCTCTAATTATGAGCTCTGGTTCTTGTTTTCATCCTCATTCATTTTATAAAGCACTATGTCTTTAAATATTTCCAAAAAATAAAAAAATTATATAAATAAATAAATAAATATATACTTAGAGAGAGAGAGAGAGAGAGAGAGAGAGAGAGAGAGAGAGTGGGGGGGCTCTGAATAAAAATTTAAAGAAAGAAAAAAAAAAGGCTCTCTCCACTTATTAACCTCCTCTCTTTTTCCTCCACCTTAATTTGATTCCTCCAATGGTCTTCTTCTTCCATTGGATTGAACATATTCCCATCTGAAAGGAAAAAAAAAAAAACTAAATCTGTAAATTTTCTCCATTTCTTCTTCTTCTGCTGCTTTATTGACCCTCTAGCTTGTCTCTCCTTCTTATCTTTCTTCTTCTTCTTCTCCCCTTCTTTGCTCTCTGTTCTGGGGATAGAGGGAGAGAGGGAGAGAGAGCAGGAGCTTATGCTTGGCTTTTGGGTTCTGCTTACAGGAAAATCTAATTTTCTGGTTCGGAAGAGAGGAGCACTTCAGCCCTATTGATTTTTTTTCCTTTTTTTTTTATTTTTATTTTTTTGGTCAAGAAGAGCTATGAGAATATTTTTCTAAAAATATAGAGCGAAACTGGTTTGAATATTTTTTTATATATATATTTAGAAGAAACAGACTGGTTTTTAATTTGCTTCGTTGTAAATTTCTCCCGGAATTGATAGGAGGGGGAAGAGAACAAGTTGTTCGGATGGGAAAACATGGACCTTGCCGCCATTGTGGAGTTACAAGTGAGCTTTTGTTGATGGCTCTGATGAATGTTTTTTATTGATTTATGCTTCATGGATCTGTTTTTCTGCTCTTGTTGTTATAATTTTGAAGATTGAGCTTCGGGTATAAGCCGTTTGGGAAAGTTTAGGTGTTTCAGAAGCAAAGTAACCGTCTGCTGAATTTGCCTTTGACTTTTATGATTGTCGTTCTTCTTCTTTTTAATTTAATTTTTCTTTGATTCTTTGCTTGTTTCTTAAATTGAGTAAGTATTTTGGGGCGGAGTTAGGGATTAGAAAAAACACACGGTGCTTTATATGAATTGTTGGCCCTTAATTTGCTTTCCTTTGTTGTTTTAGGGTCATTTCTCTCTGTTGAGCTGCTGATTAAATTGGAGATAAGAACATGGCCAAGCTTTTGATGTTTGAAGCTTAACCATGTCTTTGAACTTCTCGTTTCAATCCATGTAAATTCATATAGAACTTTGCTTGTCCCTTGCTCCCCTTTGACGTTATTGGTATGTGTGTTTTAGATGTTGAATGGCTCAGCAAATTCAGTTACTAAAAAATTGACATGTTCTAATTAGCTGCAGCAATTTCTTCTTGAGTTCAAACAATAGATTGAAATTTAACATTTCTCTCCTTTGTTTTGTGTTACATGATTGTCTTTGTTTAGAACATGGCTTGTAACGTTTTCTCAAATTGGCAAAAGGCTACTCAATCTCTGTTGTCCAATTTTGTAATTTGCAATCTAGAAAAATGAGCCTTCAGCTCTTGTTGTATGGTACTTGTTATTAATTATACCCTTCACATTCTATACTCTTCTATTCTATTGTCTACTAAGGGTTGTGAGAGTACCCAACACTTCTACTATTTGGTGTAATAGCCCAAACTTTCACCAATCCAGATATTATCAACTTTGGCCTAGTAACCTCACGATTTTGTCCCATAGATAGAACTTCCTATGAGGACACCCATCGTAGGAGTAACATTTACCATTTCTCTACTTCCTTTTGTATTACTTAATTGTCTTTATTTAGAACAGGGTTTGTAATGTTTTCTCAAACTAGCAAAAGGCTACTCTATCTATGTTCTCCAATTTTGTAATTTGCAATCGAAAAAAATGAATCTTCAGCTCTCGCTATGTATTAATTGCTGTTAATTGTAATCTTCACAGCCGATGCTCTTTAATCCTATAGTGTACTAAGGTCCGTGGGAGTACTCAACGCTGCTTCTTTTTGGTGTAACAACCTTGCTCGGTGCTGCTTATTTTTGGTGCAACAACCCAAACTCTCACACATCACGATATTATCAGCATTGGCCTAGTAGCCTCACAGTTATGTCTCATCGGTTTAACTTTCTAAGAGGTCACCAATCCCAGGAATGCTCTCACATGAATGCGCTTCAATTTGAAGTTTTTGATGAAATTCGAACTGTTACACTAGAAGGAACCTCGATCTTTAAGAGCTCTGTTTCATGCTACTTAAGGGGTTTCACATTTGGCGCCAAAAGCTCTTGTTTATTATTATTATGATAGCCACTTAATCATTTTTTTATCTCATTGTATGAACTTTCAGTGATTGAAGTGCAATCTTATGTCTTTCAAATATAAATGAGAAAATAATTATCATACGGTGCTCGTCATTAGAGCCCTTTTAGTTGTTTGTTTTGTGCATCTTTCTCCGCCTTTATTTATTCCAAAAATTAAAAATTTTCATCTTTAACCAATGCTTACTTGGATTGAGTGAGAAATTTTTGGTTGCCATCTTTTTCTATTACATGTTCATTCCCTATGGTGTTGATTCCTTTACATAAGCATAAATAGAACTTCTTTGCCTCTTCCGCTAGGATATAATAACATGGCATCTAAATACTACTTTCAGAGCATTTCACTTTTTTTTCCTTGGATTTTCATATTAGTGTCAATTTTATGTTCATTGCATTTATTTCCGTTTCTAAATGTAATTGATGCAACAGGCACTCCTCTTTGGCGAAATGGACCCCCAGACAAGCCAGTTTTATGTAACGCATGTGGCTCGAGATGGAGAACAAAGGGTTCTTTGGCAAATTATACCCCTTTGCATGCCCGCGAAAAAAATGAATGGGAAGAGCCTAAGTTTGCAAAAATGAAAAGTATTTCCCTTAAGAATAAAGAAACTAAATTGCTGAAAAGAAAAAAGATGTGTGGTATAGTAGAAACCGAATATGAAATGAGATTTTCTGAATTAGACGAAAACTATGCTAGAACATTCGATGGGAATGCTAGCAATCGATCGAGCTCTGGATCAGCAATCTCATATTCCGAAAGCTGTGCACATTTTGGTGTTGCTGATGGAAGTGATTGGACAGGTTTTTCTTACTACTTATGTACTATTGAATAGATGATTATGTTTTTATGACATTCTTCTGATATTATTACATTCGGATGTTTTCTTAGAGCGTTTTTTCTGTCCTTTTGGTTGTTTTTGTCATATTTATATTTTTTCAATTCCTCCAAAGGTAAATATATTTATGTGCTGGTAGAAAACAAGCATCTATTTACTTGAAGACATGCCATCATTTCTTACTAAAAAACACATCCCACAATGATTTAAATACTTGAAGATATAGGATGGGGTTGGTATAATTTTTTTTTCAATATTTTCAATCTGTAATGAACTACTTTCAGGAAGTTTTTAAGAAGAGACTTTATTAATGCTGTATAATAATCCAATAACATGTTGCAGACCATCTCTGCAATAATAAAATTAATTGGCTAATGTTGAAAGAGTAATAGTTAGAAGTGAAAAAACTTTAGTTGGTCTTTCTGTTAATTTTGTGTCTCATTGTCATGTAATAAGTTTGGTAAGGCTCTGGTGACCTTAGATGAGAGCTGATCATTATTTTCTATGTGCAGAGGCAGGCACTATCATGTTAAACATTTGGGAAATTTTTAACAATGTTTTTATATGTTTTGAAAGCAACGATATGGATTTCTCATTCTAATTTTGTGGATAATAATCATTATGACATTTGCTAAAAAAGTTGAAAAAGTTAGAACAATATGCAAAATGTTTAGAAAATTGATGACTGAGATTTAATTGAACAAAGATATATCAGATGATATGCACTTTTTCTGAGTATGTATTGGCAATTAACATTTATTTTTTCAGATGATAAAGTGACACTTAGTTGTGATGGGTTTATATATAACTTGAGTCAATTATATAGAGCAATGTTGATATTGCTGTGGTTATAGCTTCTAAGCTTCTAAAGTTAAGACGATAATTAATTGCAGAAGTATCCCTGAGAATATCATGTATTGGGGAGAAAATTATGGAGACACAGAAGTAACTTAAAAAAATTGCAATTTTGTCAGCTGGTTTTTATGGACCGGGTGTTGGATAATAATAAAATTGTCAATGGTCAAGTGTCGTGGAAATGATAATATTACAATAAGTGTGCTTTAAAACTTGAAAGAATACATGAACAAATGATTCATAGGAATTTTTAAGGGAATTGTTGGAAGTACATCTGTTGGAAAGGTAGGTAATTGAAGATAGACTTGAGTGATTTTGCACATAAACAAATAAAGGTTAAAAATAAATAAAGGTTGGAAATGCACCACCCATTAGACATGCAAAAATAATTAGTGTTACAGGATTAAAACGGAGAAATGGGAAGTCTAAGGTAACATAAATTAAATCATTCAAAATTGTTGTGCAAAGAGTATGTTTAACACTTTTGGTAGCTCTCAACAGGAGCAAATGAAAAATGTTGATTCATAAAAGAATAACTAGAATAAGGCTAATGATGATGATGATCATAATTTTATTGATTAGCGACAAAAACATACATAGCTAATGATTGCTTTATATACATTGATAAGCACAATTTGTAGAGATGATTCTGATATTTCCAGTATGCGTTATCCATAAAATTACATTAATCCTTACATGTGATGAAAGTGAACTATTTGATAAGATTTGACACATGTTGTAATTTTCATTTTTCTTCATTTTCTTCATTCATGATTATAAGTTTGGAAGATTTAAATGTGTACCACTCGATTCCTATGTATTCACATATCTAATAGTTAAACTTAATTTTTTTCATATATGCCATTTCACATGTATGAAAAGATATATTTCACTTTTAAAAATTAAAATGGTGGTATTTTTTTACATGATATGAAAGATTCGGTTGGTATAATTGTAAAAGATAAAGTTGAGGCGTTAGATATACATAGGAATTGGATGGTATGTTAAACATGTCCATTTTTCACAAGAAATTGTCTTAGAATTTTTCTCTCACTCTCTCTCTCTCTCTTTTTTCCTCTAATTTTAGCCTCAGCACAGTCGAACGTCTGGGATTCTTCAATAGTTCCAGTACCATCAAAGAAGAGAAGTGTTATACACCCGAAACCTTCTCCTGTTGAGAAGCTTACTAAAGATCTATACTCCATCTGGCACGAACAACAGTCATCGAACCTGTCTGGTTCCTCAGAAGAGGATTTACTTGTCGAAGGTGATATACCTATGGGTTCTGTTGAGATAGGGCATGGAGGTGTTCTTCTTCGATATCCAAGTTGTAAAGTTATAGATGAAGAATCAGAAGCAAGCTCTCTTCCAGTTGACAATAAGTTAAGTAGTGAGGCTTATTCAAGATCTTCGTCCTTCCCTGTAAATAGTGAAAGTAAAAGAACTCATTTTTCTGATGCCGGTGTCGACAAAAATAAAAAGTCAACATTTCAAATGTCACACGAACATGCTAAAAGGTTCACTCATGTTTGTTTATTTTTAGGAAATTTACATATGAAGCACACAATTCTTATGTATTTACATATCTTAGACCTAAACTTTCATATTTAATAGCACCATGGCGCTTTAAACGTATGCTTGAAACGGCATATTTCACTTTTAAAAAGTGATAATGGTGCTATTTTTATATGATGTTAAAGGTTTTAGTACTATGTGTGTAATATGAAAGTTTAGGTGTAATGCATAAGAATCGTATGCTACGCAAGTAAATTTCCCTAGTTATTAATGTTTGAAAGTCCTCTTTTTCAATGCTAGTAATGTTTATTGTCAAATAATATATTTGCAGGGAAGGTGTTTCTCCACAAAACTTCAGCATGGTAGAGGATAGAGATTCACCTCTGAGGTTTGTTGATCTTAAAGTAAGCTCTAATTCTATAGTATAAAATAACATTTTTGTACCTCAAGCTATTTGAGAAACTTACTGAGCATTTTTGTTTGTTTGTTTTGGTATTTATCTTAATAGGATGTTGTTAGTCTGGAGGTTTTCATGGAACATTTGACAAATGATGAACAGCAGCGACTAATGAAATATCTTCCTTCTATTGATACCGCTAAATCTTGGGAAAGGTTTGCCTTCCTATCTCTTTTTCAAGTTAAGAAATATACGAATGTCAGTAATTACATTAATATTTTTATATGCATTTCCAGCCTTAGAAACTTGTTTACAAGTTCATTGTTCATGGAGAGCTTATCCTACTTCCAGCAACTTCTCCAAGATGGAGTTTTTGATCTCTCCTTTGGTCAAATGAGTGTTGAAGAATGCAGGAATTTGAAGTTTGTGCTACTTAATTCCTTGAAATCTAGATGGGTGGATCACCATGGAACACTGAAGGTATCAAATTCTCTGTTGGAGAAATTTTGCTGCTCCAAAAGCTTAAAGGAAAACTTCTATTGATGATGACAGTTTCTTATGTTAATTAACACTTCTATCATTCATTTATATGATGTAACATTATATTTGGAATAGGATATAAAGCACAAAGAGCCTGGAGCAGATGGAGGAGAAAAAAGCGCAAATTTTCTTTTGCATTACGACTTAGTCACCACCAAGAGGACTCGTCATATACAAAAAGGTCAAATTCAAGGTTTGTTTCCTTTACCATTTCCACCACATCTGCCATTCAGCGTGGAGTCGCAATCTTTGAAAAATTATACTTTTCTATACACTTTTGCTTATCTCTAGTTAATTTTCTTATCCAATACTTGGATTTTAGTAGAGATTTTATTTTGTAAAAACAACAACAACAATAATAATAATAATTATTATTATTTTTTATGATCCTAGATTTATTTTTTTCACTGCTAGGGTAAAAAAATAATTAGGCATTTTTTGTTGTATAAAATCCGTTCAATTATCTGAAAAATATAAGAAAGTTATATTTTTCTTTAAATCTTGGTTTCTTGTTTGAATTTAACACAGCTTTTTTGGTATTCTTTGTTAATTTATCATTATTATTTTTGCCACACATTATCATCCTAAACATTATCTTTGATGCGTGCTTGAAGATTCATGGTGATCAAATAATGGATTATCATCTTAGCGTTGCACGAAGATTCAACACGCACTCAGATAAAAGAAAACAACTATTACAGACACCATAAATTTTTACGTGGAAAACCCATACAACAACAACAACAACAACAACAATAACAAAACCTTAACCACTAAGTGGCGTCGGCTACATGATTTCTTTTTCTCCATTGCGTCTTATTTAGTGTCATATTTTCATTTAAATTTAATAAATTAAGATCATTTTTTACACAATATGCCCAAGTCATCCTAGGTCTGCTTCTGTCTTTCTTAACATAAGTTGAATCTAAGTGGTCTAGTCTTCTAATCAAATCATCATATAGTCGACATTTAATGTAACCAAACCATATAAGACGACTCTCTAATTTTGTCTGTCACTTGAGCTACACCAACCCTATTAGGGATATATTCATTTCGCATTTTATCTCCAAGTGTCAAACCACTCATCCACCTAATTATTCTCATCTCGGCAACACTTAACTTAGTTTTATGCTTCTCTTTTAAAGGCCATCATTCAGCGACATACGTCATTGCAGCTCTCACCAACATCTTATAAAATTTTCCTTTCAGTCTAAGCGATACTTTTCTATCACACAATAGACCAGAAGCATTAGAAGCATTCCAGCATTCCTCCACTTCAACCAACCAACTTGAATTCTACTAATAACATCCCCATCAATATCACCATCACTTTGAACTATAGATCCAAGATATCTAAATTGTTCTCACCTTTTAATAATTTGATCACCCATAGTTACATTTCTGTCACTAGTGCTACCACTACTAAAATACATTTCATGTATTCGGTTTTAGAGTTATACTCAAACGAAGGCCTTTAAACTCCAAGGAAGACCACCATAATTCAAGATTTTCCTGAGTTTTGGCATATATTTTTTTTGAGTCTCATACCTTCTAGGAGCTTGAAATGCATTAGTGCCTTTTGAGGCTCATAGCCTTCTAAGATCCTTGATATACCTATGTCTCTTGAGGTTTGTAGTCTTCTAAGGTCTTTGATGTACATATGTCTTCTGAGACTTGTAGTCTTCTGAGGTTTTTGAGTGAAGACCATGTCAACCACTTGCTTTCTTGGAGTCTTTCTATTTGATGACTCCGTTCAATACTAGCTTCCCATTGAGAATGCCTCTTGGGCTCATCTTCCAAGGGCATGGTAACTTCCCATCGAGTTTTGTCTCTTGAGCTCAACCTCTAGGGCATGATAGCTTACCATCTAGTTTTTCCTTTCGGGCTCAACTTCCAGGGATACCATTTCATCCTATCAAGTCATGCCTCTTGGGCTTGAGTTCTAGGGGCATGGTAGTTTTCTATCGAGTTTTCTCCTGAGCTCGACTTCCAAGGATATTGTATCATCCCGTCGACTAGTTTTGCCTCTTGGGCTCGACTTCCTCTGGTACCGTATCATCTCATTGAGTTTTGCTTCTTGGACTCGATTTTCAATGACATGATACCTTCCTATCAAGTTTTGTCTCTTGGGCTCGACTTCTAGGGGTATCGTATCATCTCATTGAGTCTTACCTCCTGGGCTCGACTTCCCGGGGCATGATAACTTCCTATCGAGTTTTGACTCTTAGGCTCGACTTTCAGGGGTACCGTATCATCTAATCGAGTTTTGCCACTTGGGCTTGACTTCTAGCGGTAAGGATAGAGACTCTGTCTGCCACTTGTCCTCAAGGGGACTTTCTACACAAAAAACCTTTCCTGAGAGAACAAAAAAAATTCATTGAAATGACAGTTTAAAGCAACATGAAAATTTTCCTATAATAAAATTAAGGGTTTATATGTCAGTAGGTTATTCAAATAAGATAATTTGGAGTTGTACTTCTTATTTGATAACCTCGACAATTTTCTTTTGGTTCACATCACCTCATTCTTGTAAGTAGCAAACCAAGTGACTTTGGCATATCAGAGATTCAATTTCTTCCTTTAATTGAAAATATTTTTTTGTCAAATGCTCTTTTGCTTGGTAGAAATGACAATGTTGAGACTGGTTTCCACCATCTGAATTTTTTAATGTCCTTTGCCACTTGACTATTCTTATATCATTAATGGTCATTAAGATGTTGACAAGTTACGTGTTAAATGACATTTTTTTTTTATCAAAGCTCACAATTCTCCCGTGGTCTTAACTTTTTTCGCTGTGAGATTTGATTGGTAGCCCTGGCATTATCCTTGTGTTTGCCTCCCAATCGCTTGAATTGTTCCTTGTGTGCATTGATGGTCTTATCTACAAAGATTTGAGCTTTGACGCGATAGACAAGATCAACGTAAGAGCAAACCTTCTCCCATATCAACGATGAGTAAAAAGGTCCTAGTCGGAGCCCTCCAAGAAAGACTCCTCTCAGTAACTCTGAATTTACTCTCAAATGGAGAATCTGCAGGAGTATTCCTTGAGAGATTCTTCCTCATTCTGGCGAACTCCCCATAAGTGGGATGAATCCTTGATGATTTTTCTCTTTGTTATGAATTGCTCAACGAATAGTATGACAAGCTCGTTGAAGCTTTGATGGTGCCACCCGGGAGAGAGTAGAATCATGTGTGAGTTTGGCCCTTGAGAGTCGCCAGGAAGAGGGTTCATGATGGTTCGATTGTGGTTGATGCACTCGTATGGGTCAGTTACCCCTCCGTAGGCCTCGATGTTTAGGAGTTTGAAATCTGCTGAAATAGGGTATCGGAAAACCGTGTCATCCAAATAAGTGGATTATTGGAAGTTGTGGTGAGCATGGAAACTTTTCCTTTATCCAAGGGATCTCTTCCTGAACCAGGCGCCATAGCTCATCACGGATGATATCAACAGAAGTGACAATAAGGCGAGACAGTGTCAGGTGAGTTGCATGAGACTGATGAGTGAAACTTTTAATGTCGAGAATATCGACGTCCCATCTTGACAGGGGAATGGTTTTATCACTGGGAGAATCTAATGAGTGGGATATTTCATGTTGAATGTTGAACTGATGGTAAATAAGCTCCATTGAGTTGTTATTGCTCTTTGCGTAGGAGTTGTAGAATCTCCAATTGAGGTGCGTACATTCTGCATACTCGGTCTTCCATAGAAGGACCCGAGGCACCTTCGTCAGTGGGATGACGCATTCAATAGTGGGAGGTTAAAGAGGCTTGACACCCTTGGCTTCGTGACTTTCTTCTGGAATGATGTGTGTTGGAGTGAAATGTTTTGTTGTTGTCAGTGTTGCACCTGGTGACCATATAGCAAGTCCCACAAGTACTTTAGTGATTGGAATGCTCTTTTCCCACAAACTACGCTAAATTTTTGTATGTTGGAAGATCTGCGGCAGTAGAATAATAAATTATTGTCTTAGCGTTGCATGAAGATTCAATACTCACTCAAATAAATGAAAACAACCAGTAGATACACCATAAATTTTTACGTGGAAAACTCGTATAGGGAAAAAAATCATGGGGTTTGACCCGGTAATAAAAATTTACTATAAGTTGATGATTATAGAGACCTCTTATCCTACACCTAGGAAATGGTTACAACATCTCCTTCATTACAACGTCAACGAGTGAATGAACTTGTTGCAATGAACAAGAAGCAACCGATATCGATCGGTTACAGTCGGCGGGTGGTGCAATTAATGTAGGAATATGAACAATTTTGATTAGACGGTTCAAATGACTCTCCTCGATTAGATGACATTTGATAGACATTTGAGTGTCTTAATAATGTCAGAATTGAGCGATATTGTACTTCTTTGATTCGTCTCTCCTAGACGTTGAATTCTATTGTAACTTTTTCAGATTCGACATCTGTTTGACCTTTCAAATGTATCTGGAAAGCTTCCAAAAACGGTTTAATGTCTTGATCGTGGCTTGATTTGACTCAGATTGGACCAATTTTGGTATAAGTGGTTCTGTCTTATCGAGCCGATCAGTTTGACTATAAGTTTGCTGAAATCGAACTTTTGGATAGACTTTTCATTCAAGTTTGAGCGCTTCTTACTCAGAAGATTGCCACGAGATCTATGCCATGCATTGAGATTCGTGCAAGATGTTGGAGATGTGTTGATGGCGTATCAATCTTAATTATTTGATAAATAGACAAGTATCCTTCCTAATATTGTCATTCATCCATTTTGTTATTTTTATTCTCATGGCATGAGATGATGACAATTGTATTTTGACATCTTTAATAAACTTAGGTAATGGTGCATGCCCAACATGAAATAGACTTTTTAACCAATAAGTTCATCAAAATAATTATATTTTTTTATCACAGTTTCGTTTAATGAAAACCTCGATTTCCAAACTCTTATCTTGACGGAATTTCACAAATGATTTAGCAAAACGTATATACATGTCATCAGCCAAACTAAAATAAATTTAAGTAGCTTAATTATTTATGTTATTGCATTAGTTTAATTAAGAATGATTGATTTGTGCAAGAAATCAAAATAAATGTAGGACGAATGCTAGTGTTTTGTCTTATCGAGGCATTAGCACTGTCATGTTAAAATCCTCCTCTTCGTCTGATATGAGCCTTTGTTTATCTTTGCATTTCCTTGTTAATGGTTGTCTTTAATAAAAAGGCCTTGATTTAAGCCTTATAAAACATTCTTATAGGGCATGCTTGCTAGGTGGAATAATTTTTTTGAAATTTATGTACATACCACAAAATTTCTTTGTATTAGTGTTGTAATTAAGCCGACTCGAGTCGGGAATGTCCTGGATTTGACTTGATTTAGTTGAATGATAAGTTGTTCACGTTCAGTTCGAGCTTGAACTAAGCTTTCACAAAAATGTTCATAGTTGGCTTAGTCAAATTTTTTAATAATCATATTTGATTTATACTTCGCTTGTTTATATCAATTGAGCAAGCTAAAAAATAAAATAAATATTTGCCGTCATATAATACTAAAATTTGATTCATGCTTAATTTTTCATAAAAGGTTAATAATCAACCTAAAAACTTGAATGAGCACTTAATTTTTTAGATAAATATATTAATTAATGATTTTACAATTCTAAATAAATAAGTAATTGGATAAATTTTATATTAGAATTTAGCTAGTTTGTACCAAATAAATAAAATATTATATAAGTTATAAGTAAACTTTATTTCAATTAAATAATAAAATTATGTATTAACAAGTTAGTTTATTTAAATAAAAAAGTAAAAAATAGCATTAAAATTATATGCGTATTAATATTAAAATATAACATGTTTTATTAACTAAATAATTAAATAAATTATAATTAATTAAATTTTATTTAAATAATATATCATATAAATATAAAGTATTTAACAAATTTTATTAAACAACAGACAAGTCTATTCATCAATATTAACAAAGAAGGCGGACCATGTTCAAATTTGGTTTAGTTAACATTTAAGGTTTAAAAATATGCTCAAACTTCATGATTTAATTGAGCCTGAGTTCGAGTTTTAAAAAGTTACTTGTAACATTACTTTTGATGTGATATTAAAGACCAGATTGTCGTGTATGTAAATATGAAAGTTTAGGTTTTAAATATGTAAATACACAAGAATTGTGTTGTACAAGAATTGTGTTGTATGTATGATTGTGTTGTATGTATGTAAATGCCCCCAAAAAAACTTACATCAGAACTGCCTGGTATAAAAATGTATCAAAATAGGAAGATATCTGCTCAAAATGAGAAAAAAAACAGGATATGCTGATACAATTTTATGGATTTTCAGCTTCTTCAACTGTCTGATTAGTAGTTATTTTTGCTCCGAATGTTCAACTCAGATTCGAAGCGAATCATGAGGAGCCCAAAAATGGCATACAGATCCAGCAACACCAAACCTCCCCTGGCGAAATCATCAGTTCAAAATCCCAGGGAAATCCAATCAAAGGAATTACTCGCCACCGCGGACCTTAGGGGCAACGAAGGGGCTTGCTTCAGTCCAACAAGCCTCTTCACATGGCCTCCAGATCCAAGCTCAGATCTGCTATTCACTGATGACAGCTCTGAGCAAGACTTGCTGCTCGACGTGCGTTGCAGTTCTTCGTTCCCGGAAGCAGAGCTCCTCCACCATCATCCCCGCAACGAAAAAACATCGTCGAACAGCTCTCAGGCAGAGAGCTTTGCTGCTGCCGAGGAAGAGAGCCTCTGCAATTTCCCATCTTCCACTCTCAGGGCTTAATCTTGTCTTTATATATAAGCCCATTTTCTTATTTCTCTTGTGATGCTTTCAGACAAGGGAGATGGGTGCTACAATTCCATGCTCTGATTTGGTGTAAAGGTACCTTGTAGTCTGCTCTGTTTCTGCTGTTTGGTTAATATGATATAGCTAACAGTTTCCATGTAATTGGTGGAGCTTCTTCATTTTATTGTTCATTTTGTTTTGATTTTGCTCATTAGCTTGCTTATATCTTGAGAAAACATCTAATATAAAAAGAGTGGTAGTTTGTTAATAGGCCATTATATCCATGCAATTTCAGTTTATAGGAAGATTTAAATGCATACCTCTCAATTTTTATGTATTTACATATCTAACAGCTAAACTTCAAATTTTACTTATGTTCATTTTACCTATTCAAGAAAAGGTGTATTTGGCATTTTTTAAATATTATATGAATGATTTGGATGTTATAAATGTAAAAAAATAAAGTTTAGCTGTGTTTTTTTTCCTTTATTATTTTATTTTGGATGACTAGATACAGACCACCTTGAATATTGATATTTACAGATTAAGTGCCCATGTGATTTTTTCTTAATTATCGAACCAATACATTTACGCATGCTACTATAAAAATGAAAATTGTGGGTTAGAATTTTAGCATAAATTTTGATTTTTAAGTGAGAATTTGAAAAATGATGAAACAGGGTTGTTAGATTTATAAAAATAGCAAGTTTCAGGTGACCTTTTATGTAATTGCCCCCCCTTTTTTTTCTGCTCATTGCTCGTTTTTCTTCTTTATGCTAAGCGGTATTTAAACTTTCATATATGTATGTATATATATATATGTATGTATATAAGCTAAATATGATTGAACAAAGGATTATTAGTGATTCATTCGTTTAAAATTTAAGCTTATAAAAATTATTAGTATTTAGTTCACTAAATGAATAATATGAACATGAATTAGATAATGAACTAAATAAAATACAAGCTGTCCACAAATAAGCAGACGACAATAACAGCTACATATAACCACCAAAGATCATAACCAACAACAACTAAGCCTTAATCCCACTACGCGGCTACATGAATTCTTTTTCTCCATTGGGTTCAATTTAGTGTCATATTTTCATTACCACTACCTATTTAGTGTCATATTTTCACCACCAAAGATCATAACCATAATTACCAAAATATAGTTTGCTGCCTTCACCACCACTACCTATTGCCATGGCTATATCACTACAGCCTCTATCAATTTATATGTTATTCAATAAAAAAAAAATTTATATTAAACATATCAAATATACTTTTGTCATAACTAAAGAAATAAATAAAATGAAATGAAATTTGTAGGATTAAATAATCCCAAATGGCCCCTAAACATATTTGACATAATTTAAGCCCCAACCAAATAAATAACAGAGAATAGAGGATGCAAGTTTAAGCTAAATAATGTTGAGCAAGAATTAAATCCCTCCATAGATTTCAAAATCAAGTTAAATCTGACCACAAGGAACTCAAAATTAGTTAAGATAAACTTTTGAAGGGAGCAAAATCTACATCTGAACATAAACTATATATATATATAAACTCAAAACTAAGTTGAATCCTGATTGTGAATTAGAATTCGAGTCGCCGGAAAAAATCTCCCAAGGGTATTATCATAAGAGAAATTTATGGCAAAAATGCTTCAAAATATGATAAATCCAAATATTTTGAATGCAATTTAGGAATGTAAAAAACTTGACTGTTTGAGTATAATATTTCTTATCCCTTAAAAAAAATAAAAAAACTTCCCTGAATGGGTCCAGTAGAAGAAACACACCACTTGGAACTGGAAATAGCACAAATAATAAAGTTGGAATATCATCGGGCAAAAACAAGAAGGATATATTTCTAATTAATAACAAGAAAAAAAACAAATATGATAAAGAAAATACAAAATTGATCCTAAAATATTGTAGCAAACGAGTAAACATTGTTGCTGATTCTTTGTTTGGAGCTAAAAATTACAACAATGATAACAAGAAAGTTTTTACAGCAAATCTGTGGTCAGAGGAAAATGTATTTTATATCAACCATATGGAACAATTCAACATTTTTTTTTTCTGAAGAAAAGCAAAAGTTAGATGACCAATATCAACATTTCATACAGAAATAATGGCCACTCAACATAGCTTAATTATGAAGAATTATAATCCCAATCTCACTCATATGAACATTGCACCCCTCCCCCCTTTATTTAAAAAAAATAAAATAAATAAAGTTATCGATAAAAATAATAAAAACCTCCCATTCAACCCTCTCATGATGAACTTGGTATAAAAGTTGACCTGCAACAAAAGTTGAGCTTCACAACTTAAATAGTCCTTGCCAGATAAAATATCCAAAAATGAGAAACAGCTAAAGCCCCTTGAAGAACAAAAATGACGACATGGTTTGCTTCTGTAGCCTGCAAACCTCTAGACCTGCAAAGAAGGGGTTGGCGGTATAGGAAGCAATCATGATGGAACTTGATAAGGGAAAGTATTGACAAGATTAATGATGCGAGGAAACAAAATTAGAGCTTGTTCAAGGTAGGCGTCAATGGGACCAACATGTAGACGAATCAAAATGACAGCTCACATGGGGTAAGAGCAAACAGAATCGATAGCGCGTTAAGGAAAAGAGAAAATCAAGTGGAAGCTCCATAGAAAAGATGCCAAACGACATGTGAAGCAGAAGAGGAGATCACCGAGGGAGTTTTCTTCAAATAAAGATTGACAATCAGTCAACAAAAATAAAAGACCATACGATGGCTCCATGGGACAAGTCGCAATGTACTTAGAAATCGGCCAACTTTGATGAGTTTGTACTAAACCAAATAGGAATTAAGAATGAGTTCCAAATTCAACCCAAAATTACTCTGAATTTACTTCTCAACTAACCAAATAGACCCATAAATAAAAAAAGTAAAAAAAATTCCCTGCAAGGATAATGAGGTAATTTTAAGGAGAGAGATCGACTGCATAACCTGGGATAGTAATTATTGATACATGACTTAAGAGTATGAATAAACTATACAAATGAATTTATGGTCCTACAATAAAATGATGGATAGGAAAGTAATATAACTTTTCAAGAAGGTTGCTGCAAGAGGTAATCATTTAATAGTCAAATTTGACATGGAATAAAAAAAAGAAAACATTAAAATATAAATTTCAAAGAGTCTAAGAAGAAAATAATGAACCAATAAAAAGGTGTGATGGTGGAGAGAGGACACATAAGATTTATTAAGGGAAAAAAAACATTTTTAGAAGGTGAAAAAATTTTGAATATTAATGACACTTATAATGATTATAGAAAAGCTAGAAGTCTTGATAAAAGGAGAGAAAAGAAAAGCAACTAGAGTTTTTTTTTTTTTTTTTTTTTTTTTTTTTTTTTTTTTTTGTTCTATATTATAGCTTTGGTACTAAAATAGGAAAAAAAGAAATAATATAAAAAAACTCAAGTAAATATAAGAGATTTAAGAGTTTGCAAGTTAGACGTCCTGAAAGTGAGATGGTAGAATAATGTTTAATGAAAAAAAAAATTTTGAGATATACCTTTATGAAATTAGTAAAAGAGAGATCTTAAAAAAATGGAAGAGCAAAAGAGTTGCTTAAAAGAAAATGGAAGATCATACTGATAAATTATAGTGAAATAAAATATATTATAAATTGACAAAAAAATGAAGTAAAATTACTTAAAAAGAAAATCATAAAGGTAATGCTTTTATGTTTATATGAGACACCAAGGTAAGACTTTTATGTTCATTGAGAATTGGAGAGTTATGGGGACTAAAAAAATGTCAAATGATTGGAAAAAAAAACCACTAGTATCATTATCCAATAACAAATGTCATGATTAAGACTGCCAACTATAAGGAAACCAAACTTATAATTCACACAACAAATGAAGCAATAATAGAAATGAATGGAGAAACCTTAAAAAATTACATCAATTTTAAGGAAATAAATTAGTTTGATGAGAGAAACATCAATTATAAAAGTGATTTTTGTACCAAAATAATTAATGAAAAAATATAAAGCACAAACAAAGCATTTCATATAATTTAAGTTAAGGGCAACAAAAATGGACCCTGCATGCAAACTCGACTCGTACCAAGCTCAAAAAATTGGGGCTTGAATTAGCCAAATTAATTTTTTAGTTGAGTTTGGGTCAAGTATCTTGAGAAGCTTAATTTTTCAGATCAAGTTTGAGTTAACCAATGAAATTTGGCTTATCAAACCTAACTTGATTTGAATTTGACCCAAATAGTTGCTACACGTGTTAAAAATGGTTAAACGTGGTAAAATTCGAGCCAGGTTTGAATTATTTTTTTCGCCACATCTAGTAATTGAGTTGGGATTCAAAACAAGCAGTGTCAATTCAAATCAATTTCAGATTAAACTCAAACCCAAACCGCAAATTTGATTTGACACCCCTAAATTTTGTTGACCTTGGGAAGATAGAATTGAGTACCACATAAATTAAGTTGGTTCACTTTTAAGAAAAAAATTTGCTCAGAGATATATAGTATTATTAAAAATATTTGTAATTAAATAATGAATAGCAGTAAAAGCTCTTGTGATGTTCTAACAGATTTCAAAATCATAGGTTTATGAAAAGGATGAGAATTATAACTTTTAATTAATTATGAGGATGCCTAAAAAGAGACTCTGAAGTGAGTTACTTAAGAATATAACTTTTATATATGATATAACTTTAATTGGCGAGGCATCCACATAAATATGTAAAAAATTAAAAGAAATTTACACACATACCACACAATTCCTATATATTAACATTTATAATATTTTGGTGTCATAAATATTATGTAATAGTAATAATATTTTATGTAATATCAAAAAATTGAGTATTATGCATGCAGATATAAATTTTTAGGTGTTGGATATGAAAATATATAAGCATTGTCACAACTAGGCCTGGAACTTGAAATTAATCGAGACCAGAACGAATTATTTGACGGTGAAAATAAATTCTCTGCTATCCTATTTCTATCACTAACAAGTTAATATGCAAAAATTCATGAAAGAACCATTAAAGAAAATAATTAAAATTAACAAATAAAATTTTGTACATTTTTGTTTTTGTTCTCGTCTTCTATGAACATTTGATCATATTCTATTCATCTTGCTCAAATATTTAAAATCTAAAAATAATATTAAAATAACATAATGCGTTATTTAAAAATAACCCAGGAGCAATCAAACACACTCCTAAACTACAATTACCCAAAGAAATGATTTCAATAAGCATAATGGTCTTCATATCTCTATAAAAGATTTTATAATATGCCAATCTTTTGTATTTGTATAAGAAATTTTATAATATGTTAATTCATGTCTCAATAACATTTTCTAAATGAAAATACTTAAATCTTCTACATGTATTTCCAAACTTTTTATTTTATACTTTTACATACATATCTATTTCTATAAGGATCACACTTAACAAAATCTAACAAACCTTTGATCGATATTGTCTAATAGGCCCCTGTCAGCAAAGATATTAGTAATGTAAATATCACAACTATTTAGGGTGCAAAGACCCTTATCTCCTGGTATATATTATCTTGTCGGCACAGCGATTAACAATGTAAACATCACAATTGTCACTGGAAGTAGACATTGGTCTACTCTCCACTAGCCGATATTATCACGTCACCAGTTGGCACAACGGTTAGTGATATAACCATCACAATTGTTTAGTCTAAGGTGGTAGAAAAATCTCTATGTGCAGGTACACTAACGTCTCCTACATGTATCATCAAGGAGTGAACTCTTCCTTTGAACATGCACATACAAACATTTATATATATACTATTTCATTTTTCATAAACATCTATGCATACCTACCTTACTCTATCGTGCAACTATCATCATGCATCTCTCTCATGCATATCTCATGCATCTCTCTTACATCATATATATTTATTTCTATCATGTTTATCATGCATATCTTTTCTAGTATGTCTGTCTTGCACAACATGTATATCATATATATCATGCATCTCATATATATCTTTCATATATGTCTGTCATGTCTAGCAATATGAAAGATCTAACTAAACTAAAACACACAAAGAATCAAACATACATTTTGAAATAAAAAAAATACTGAAATTTTAAAATATAACAACTAACCTCGACTGCAACGCTAAATTCTTAATCTTTGATAATTAGTTGGATGTTGCAATAATTTTTATGTTGATCTTAATAACCAATAAAACAGTACATTAAACTTTAGGATTTAAGCAATTTTCGTTAATCAAATTATTCTTCCTAAATTAGCATAAAATTATTTACCTGAAATTGACGGAGCTGTTGTACGACAAGTTTTCACACGGTGGCCTCAAATTTGCTCTCATGTAACCAAACTAAAATCTTAAACTGACATAAGAATTCAGAATATCTTGACTCATAAAGTACTTTAACCCAAAAAAAAACAACGGATTTGCTTGAATGAACCTTTACTAACTTCTCAGCAACCCAAACCCTTCTCCGAAGCTGCCAAAATTTCCTTCTCCTAATAACCCATATCTTCCTTCCCCTTTGTTGATTTCATGTGACAACCCTTACGAAAGCTTGCAAACCACTTATGACACTTCCAACACAAGTTTGGCGTCTCTGAAGGCTACCTGAAACGAAAGGGTGCACAAAATCAAAGCAAATATAAAAATGAAAGCGTTGAAAAGAAAATGAATGTCTAGAATATTACTAAAGTGAGTTTCATACTTACTCGAAACTCTCTAGATCCCTGAACTGAAGATTACGACTCTCTGTAGGTCGCCAGCATCGCTAACCACGCGGGATCCCTTCTATTGAACACGATTGAGATAGGGAGAAATAAATCAAGAGGTGAAGGAATTTGAAGGCTATGGAGACTCCCATTCGACCGAACCAGCAATAAATATCGCAAGGAAAGTCGGTGAATACACTTCATGTAGAGAAGATTAGTAATAATTAGGTTCAATTAAAGTTAATTAGCCTTATAGTTTCCAAATTTTATATATCCCAATCCAATCATAATAAATATATAGTATTTTTATTTAATTAATCGATTTCATGCGTAGATTTTTATAAAATTGATTGAGTTGAAATCAGATGAATCCGAAATTTAGATTACATTTTCAATCGCCAAATTTTTTATCCAATTTTTAAAAAATGACTATTACAAGAAATGTGTGGTATGTACATAAATGCCCCATACTTAAAATAGTGGATGAAGTATTTTGAAAAAAAACCTTAGAATTACTTGAATAAAATTGAGTATTTGATCTAACATTTTAGTGGGGCATGACTCAATTAATTAAATAAATAGACTCTTACCGCCTGTCTCGAAAGGGGGGGCTAAACCTTGATCCATAAAAAAGACAATCTTGGAAAGTAAGCTAAAGTCTAGCATCATTTTTGCACAACTGATCTAGAGAATTCCCTCACTCCACAGTCGCCGACCTCCATCGACTATCATCTGCTCATCACGCTCTAGTGCCAGCTAGCACTAGTAGACACTTGCGCCATGCAGCGAAGGCCCTTGAGGAGTCCCAATGACACGACCAAATGATTGTGTAACAACGTATCCCACATACGGTGAAATGGCACCTCCCGCAGACAGGGTAACAATGTGACCCAAAGACAGTGACATTCTTCGAACTCCTAAAGCTTTATGTTTGCAGCGCCCAACTCCGTCCCTCGTGGCCTACGGAAAACATTACAACTCACCACTACAGCCTCCAAAATCAACTACGACCTATGTGATTCACAGCTTGTATAGCTTCTGACTCTGGCCCCCGCATACCACAGACGTCATCATATCTCACCACTACGGACTACGCGAGCAACTATGGCATATGCATTCCACAGCTCCCGAATCGGGGCCCTGCAACCTAAGAACATCGTCACAGGTCACCACTTTGGCCTACGTGACCAACGATGACCGAGTCATCCACAACTCGTATAGCTCCTAACTCTCCTGCCCATGAGGTACATTGACCAACTTTGTAACTATTTCTTCCTCAACTCAAGATAAGACTTGACCTATGTACTCACCATTCATGGTGAATTATTTCAACTGAACTAGATCTAGTGATTTTTCCCCTTTCCGAGGTTTTCCACGTAAAAAGTCAATATGTCTTCTTTTGTTTACTTTTCCTTTATTATCTGAGTATGTGTTGGAGTTTTGTACAACGTTAAAACGATAATTCATTAATCTACTGCCACAAATTTTCTAGCACGCATCAATACTAATTCAAAATTTATTAAATTGCTTATTTTTTTAGATATGTAAAATTATTGTTGAAAAAATTTTGTGAAAATCCATATATTTGTTCGAATTTTTAGCTCATTTGTTAACTCGTCTAAATACTTATTCACTTGATAAACCAATTAAATACAAGTCAAGTTCAAGTATTGAAAATTTTAAAAAAGTCAATTTTGAATATATATGTGAATGCTCGACACAAACTCAAGCTAAACATGAATTACTTATAGTATTACTGAGTCAAGTTCAATCTAAGATATACTTAACTCGACTCAACTCAACTTGACTCGGTTATAGCCCTGCCATGATGGAAAGAAAGAAAAAAGTCAAATAATAGCATTACCCAACCAAAGCTGACTTGGAATTTCACGAGAAGGAAAACAATGCTGGAACTTTTTTATCTGACATTTCATCTATGATGTAATGGAAGAGTAGACTATAGTTTTCCAAAAAAGGGAGCATTTACATACCATCCAATTCCTATGTATTGACATATCTAACATCTATACTTTTTACTGTTATAGTACCAAAATCTTTTATATCACATCAAAAATACAATTATTTTAACTTCAAAAGTATAAAATACATCTTTTAGGTAAATATAATAATATATAGGAATTAAGTGGTGTGTGTGTAATTCTTCCGGAAAAAAGGACCAATAAAGTTTGAATCATTAGGAAAAACCTGCGGAACCCATCTTCAACTCAAATAACGTATTATTGAAACAATACATCCATATGCACTTCTTTTCATGTATGTAAATATGAAAGTTTAAGAGTGAGATATGCAAATTATGTACTACGTATATAAATTTCCGATAATCATGTTAAAAACAAAAAGAAAACAACATCAACCAGGACTTATAACGGGTCCTATGAACTTTCAACAAATGCCTCAGGCTGCGGGTACTAGTCGGCTGAACATCATCAACCACAAAACATCATCATTTTTTTCGAAATAGAAAACACAACGGCATCGCAACTATAAGCAATTCATACAAAAAAGGCGTCATTTTCCTCCTTACCAGTCACGAGGACCAAAAGATAGAGAAGATAGCTTCCTGAAGAATAAAAAAAGAAGACATTGTTTTCTTCTCTGTTCAGCATACTCCATTTCCATACGTTAAGGTTGCTGCAAACGAAGTTAAAACAAAAGCCCAATAGGAATCATTTCAAAAACGCTAACTGTTAAAACAGAAAAAAAAATGTGACATTACCCAAACATCGACGAACCTTCTTGGGTCCATAGCCTCCTGGCCTCCACCAGCTTGGTGGAGGGAAATGAATTCCCTTCATAGCAGCGATCTCCAAAATATCCATGTCCTCAAACCTTTTATTCTGCTTTTCGCACATCATTCTCGCGACATCAAGTAAAGCAAACTGCAGCTTCTCGGAGAGCAATATACTTTCATTCAAACCATCGCCGTCCTTACGATCACCGGAACCAACAAGAGTATCAGCCGCAAAGCTAGGGTTTACGTTTTCGTCATCGAGGCGTTCTTTGCCCGACGATTCATCCCGCTTTTCTTCATCGGAATCCGAAGATCTAATCTTCGCACACTTCGCCTTCCTCTTCAATACTGAAGATCTCTTCCTCGCCACAGATACAGGTTGGGAGGCGATGATGCTGGGAGGATCTAGGGTTTGTCCCGTTTTTAAGGAAGTGGAGGTGGAAGAACTGGACGTTTCCGGGAGAGTGCAGATGAGGATGGAGTCGTCCGCATATGGCGTTTTACGGGGTTTGTCTCCATCGACGTCGGCGTCGGTGGCGGAGAAGAACTGGTCTGAAGAGTCGGCCTCGGTCATTTGGTCGGCGAGAGCCCTATGAGTAGTTATGCGGAGGGGCAATCAACGAAGAAGAGAGCTTGTGCAGTCGAAGAGTTACCGCTACGGTATGCGGTAACTGCCCTGCAGAGAAATGGAATTCGCGCCCGCCTTCGCAGTTTCAGACTAAGCTTCGGCGGGGAAATGGCGGGAAAAGGGAGGGAAGGTGGGGTAACAATACCGGAATTTGAAATAAGTCAAAATATGTTATCCCGATATTGACCGTCATATCACATCCGGTGCGCAGAAGGACGCTTTTTTATTAATGGACAATAATATTTAACATTTAAATTTTAATATTTATATTTATAATATTTTAATATTTAAATATGTACGCAAAAAATAAATTTTATTTACATACATACCCAAAAGGTCTATGCATTTATATCTACACCTAAATATTTTTATATACATGCATCTATTCAAATATTTAATATCAAATAAAAAATCTGATGAGTATTTTTTAAAAGCAAAAGTATTTTCTTATGCATTGATTTATGATGATAAGAAAGCGTTAAAAATGTACATATCAAATTTTGGGTGCTGGAATTGTAAATACATAAGAATTGGGTGTTATGTATGTAAATTTTACTATTCAAAAATAATTATTATAATTGTTTTGTGAAACATACCAAGCGATAGAACCATGATATTGACTCATATTTATGTAAATGGATCCTAATCTTACAAAATTATAAATCTGCCCCCTCATCATTTGTCTTTTAAAGAAGTTTTTCAATAATTACAATAATATTTGAATATAATAAAAAGATAATTCGAATAAAGCCGACTGTTTTTTTGGGGGCCGGTCAATACATCATCGATACTGCAATTCAGTAGGTCAATTTATGAATCTCTTTGGTATTTTTCTACGAGGTGGTGTGTTAGGGAGTGCTTGGATCTTCTTTGGATTAGCTTTTATGTCTTTGGGGGTTAGTAAGTACCCCAGGAATTTATTCGTCGAGGCTCCGAATATACATTTTAGCTAATTTACTTTCATGTTAAATTTTTTGAGTATTTTTAAAGTTTCTTTTAGATATTCAATACAGTGCATGACCGATCAACTCTTAACCAGCACATTATCTACGTACACCTCAATGTTCTTTCCTTTTTTTATTAGCAAAAATTATATCTATAAGGCGTTGGTAAGTCGCCTCCTCTTTCTTTATCCCGAAGGACATTACATTATAACAATTGACTCTTTCACAAGTAATATAAGAAGTTTTTACAGCATTTTTTTAATGCATTTTGATCTGATGATACTTGGAGAACGCATTGAGGAAGCTTAGGACCAAGTGGCATACTGTCAAATCCACCAGAGCATCATTCTTCGGTAGAGGGTACGTGTCCTTTGGGCATATTGAATTTAGGTTGGTAAAGTTTATGCACATCCTCCATTTTCCGTTAGTCTTTTGCATCATCACAACATTGGAGACCCGTGTGGGGTATTTCACTTGAATGTATCCTGCCAACGTCATGGCCAAGCTTCTAATTTTTTGCTTCACTAGCTAAGCTGACCGATCCACATTTAATTGTGACAAGCTGCGTTGATCAGTACACCATGCATTTTGGCAGTCGTCCATGCGAAGACGTCTTGATTTTTCTGAAGGGTCTGGAGAGCAATATCATTTGTCCTGCATCAAAAGCTTCACTAATCAGAAAACATTTACATGGCTCTCCCTCAATAGCTGGGACCTCGAGGGGGGCCCCATTGGTCTCAAGGCCGCCTCCCCTTGAGTTCTGAATTTTCATGGGGTCATGCTCCACATTGCTTGACGCTTGTAAGTAGCAGATCCAGGACTGTTCCAGGTTATCTCTAACTGTGATGATCTCCCCACCTCTAGGAAACTTGACTGAGACATAATAAGTGTAGACTACTGCCTTGATGTTGTTTAGGAGCGTTCCACCAAATATCACGTTATATGTTAAGGGAAAATCCATCGTGAGGAAGCCTTCTATTAACATGGATTGCTTCTCATCCCCCCCCCCCCCCCACTCCCTTGGCGCCCCCACTTCCACTCCCGCGTCATTC